AGAAGAAGTCTTACTTGTTTTTTTTCACATACTGCTGGATGCAATTGGCTAATATTTGTGCCTGTACTCATTAATGAGAATCATCTATAATTTTCTTATGTATGCCATCTTTTGCTATTAAAATTATGTTGGATTCAAAGAGTGAGTTATAGAAATTTCAATCTCCTTTAGAGATTGAAATTAGCGCAAAGCTCTGGTTACGTCACTCTACTGCCTACAAAATAAAGCCCAAAGGCCTTATCCTGGCACTCAAGGCCCCGTATAATTTGGCTTCAGGCTACCTCGCTATTCTTATCTTCCACTATTTCCCTTCGTGCATTTCTGTTCCAGTTAAACTAGACTATTTGATATCTCCCTAAACCTCCTTTTCTTCTCTTTCTCTCACCACACACATATTCTTGCTACTCCCTTCTCTAGCAATTTCCTCATCTCCATTCTCTAACTTATACTCGTTCATCAAGGATAACTAAAATGCTACCTCCTTGATTCCCCCCAGACAAAAGGAACTTCTCCTGTATAAAGGACTATGCATGGTGTGTGTATTTCAAATGACAGCATTCACTATGATATAACAGAACAGTATAGGAGATGAGAGCACAGGCTCAAGAGTCAGATGGCCTGGGCTCAAACCGCTCATCAAGTTAGTGGCCAGGACACACAAATTGCTCACCACTCTGATCACCAGCATCCTCTTTTGTAAAATGGGGTTAATAATGGCACCTGCCTCGTGGCTCTTAAGGTTGTCTTGAGGATAAAATAACTATTTATAGAATGTTTTGCAAATGCTTGGAACACAGTGATCATTCTGCCTCAGGCGAATAAATGCTTTAACTCTCGCTAGAGTATTAGTGAGCAAGAATCATGGATTTTAAATACATTCCTATATTCCTCATCTCAACTAGCACTCAACTTTGCAGACTGCAGGTCAGTGAACACTTACTCGATCAATGAAGTTTACATTGTCTTTAACTTAATATCAAAACAAATCCAAAAAGGGCAAGAAAACGAAAAACTCAAAGTAAGACAAGACCTCACTCATCATAATCATCATTTCTCCTGCTTCTCCTTCCTCCCCTGCTGGAACCGGGCCAGACACGACAGCATGAGCTTTAGGATTTCATCGAATCCACACATTAATCTTAAGAATTTAACTCTATTATCAAGACTTTACTAGTGAAGAACACGAAGCTAGACCAGGCGAGCAACCGTGACTAGGACTGGCCATACTTCCATTTCTCAGACACTTCCAGAGTGTGTGCAGACTTTTACATCAAGCCTGATTCCAAAGCCTGTTTAAGGAAAATCCTTAAGTTTTATCATGACAGCAAAATGATCTTAGAGTTGCAGGGTCTTTTCGTTTAATACCACTATGTGTCAGGTGCTCTCTGTGGCTTTGATTTAAAATTATCAGGCAAAGGAATTAAAGGAATCATATTTATTGCCATAAATAAATTTATTCCTTAAAAACACCAATCTTTAAAATAGAAAAACAGGGGCTGGCCCGGTGGCGCAGTGGTTAGGTGTGTGCGTTCCGCTTTGGCAGCCTGGGGTTCGCTGGTTCGGATCCCAGGTGCAGACATGGCACCACTTGGCAAGCCATGCTGTGGTAGGTGTCCCACATATGAAGTAGAGGAAGATGGGCAGGGATGTTAGCTCAGGGCCAGTCTTCCTCAGCAAAAAGAGGAGGATTGGCAGATGTTAGCTCAGGGCTAATCTTCCTCAAAATATAAAAAAATAATAAAATAAAATAGAAAAACATTAGAAGGAATTTTTAAGAATATAACCTAAACATATTTACATGTACACAAATTAATGAAAACATCTAATAATTTACTGACTGAAAGAAACACTCAAGCTACAGGTACAGCACAAGCCAATTAGTAACAAGACTTTCTAAGCTTTACCAACATGGACACCTGTAGTACAACTTAAGAAAAAAATAATGGAGAACGGCACCTGACACCAGTGTTTACTTATCATGCTCCTACAACACTGGACACCCACACTCTGAGGCCTGGAGAACTCGGTAACCTCAGTGTTTCTCAGCAGAAAGTAACTTTAACGTTAAAACTGGGCAAATCCTACAGAGGCTCTCTGGTGCACAATCGTCACCTGTGTACTCCTCAGTCACCATCTTACAGGTCTCCAGCAACATGAGCCACCGAGAGGCCCACGCCACCTGCTGAAGCCCTCTGCACTTAGCTCACGGCGGTGACCTGGTGGCCTCTCACTGGAGCTGCTCAGGACTGACAGGCAGGAGACAGGAAGTCCCAGGCCCTCGGCCAGCGCGGCTGAATAGTGTGGAGTGTAACACACTGGCAGCCTCTGCTGTTTACATGGCCTTCACGAACGTCACATGTTCGACTTCAGAAACGCAGGCTACCTAAGACCCAGGCAGAAGTCTCTCGTTAAACAACCAGTAAAAACAAAATGTAACTGGGGGACACTTTCCTAGGTCAGGTTCCAGACACAGCTAACAGCTTTCACTCGGACACCTGGCCTGTTCTATCCTCAACCAACACAGAAAGTCTGACTTCGAGCCAGCCAATAAATAGTCTAAATTCTAACTTAAAAATATGCTGCACAGCGTGCTACCAACAAAAAGTAACTTAAAGCACAAAATTTTGCCCCAAATGGAAATTTTACAGAAAATATGGCTACTTTTTCAAACAAAATGAAACAGCTGTCAACGGTTTCAAGAATTTTCTCTACCTTGAGTTTCTGTACCTGAATAAAATCCAAACCTTCTGATTTATCATCTTTATTTGCTCTAAATTAAGTAAAACTTTCACCTGAAGAAACTCACAGGGAAATAACATTTACTCTGATATCTCTGCCAATTTTTAAAACACAATAGGGCTTTAAACACAAATTCTAGCTGTCTTTGATAACTTTATGTTGTTGATTCTGATATGATACTTTTTGTTTTTATTTTTTTCCTGCTTCTCCCCAAAGTCCCCCTAGTACATAGTTGAATATTTTAGTTGTGGGTCCTTCTAGTTGTGGCATGTGGGACGCCGCCTCAGCATGGCTTGATGAGCGGTGCTAGGTCCATGCCCAGGATCCGAACTGGCGAAACCCCGGGCCACTAAAGCAGAGCACACAAACCTAACAACTCCATCACCGGGCCGGCCCCATGATATGATACTCTTTTTAAATGCTCCATTCTCCAAAATCTAAGAATTCCTAAACCAAGTATTATATAATAATCATCTGCGCTTTACAAAAGATTTAACAATGCAAATATGATGTGTATTACCTGCTAGAAGAGATTAAAAATGAAATATAAGACTTCTCCATTAGACAACAAATAGATCTTTATATTTTGACGTTTTGTGTAAGACTTTCTGCCTTGGGCCTGAGAAATTCATAATCTTTTGGGTCTTTTAAAAAGCACTTTATCAGAATGATTTGCTCACTACACAAGTCAAACAAGATACAGACGTGTAAGAAAAATGTTAATAATTTTCCTTCTTCCTTACCCCAAAGTAATGCGGAGAATTTGATAGGTACTTTTCCATGTCTGTTCTCACAAACACACACACACACCCTCCTCTACAAATACAACCAAGTGTTTTCTTACTTTTAAAAATGGAGTCATACTATAAATATACTCCTGTGCAACCTGTTTTTTAAAAAAATATAATACTTCAGAGACATCCCTTCAAGTCAATACACAAGGTGTTCCTTTCCAGGTCTTTGGATTGCTAAAAGTTAAATGATTTGGGGCTGGCCCAGTGGCGCAGCAGTTAAGTTCACACGTTCTGCTTCGGTGGCCCGGGGTTCGCTGGTTCGGATCCTGGGTGCAGACATGGCACCGCTCATCAAGCCACACTGTGGCAGGCGTCCCACATATAAAGTAGAGGAAGATGGGCACGGATGTTAGCTCAGGGCCAGTCTTCCTCAGAAAAAAGAGGAGGATTGGCAGACGTTAGCTCAGGGCTAATCTTGCTCAAAAAAAAAAAAAAAGTTAAATGATTTAATGAAACTCAACTAGAGAAAGACTGTCTGGTTTCCCTGGAGAGGTGAGAAATAATTTTAAAAAAAACAGTGACACATAGCATATGACGTTTCAGTCAACTATGGACCGCAAAGACGATGGCAGTGCCACAAGACTAGGACCACAGAGCCCAGGTGTGCAGCAGTTACACCATCGCGGTTTGTGTGAGTACACTCTATAATGTTCACACAACAACAAAATCGTCTAACAACACATTTCTCAGAACGCATCCTTGTCGTTAAGTGATGCATTCTATTGTATTTTAAACAGAAATGTCTATGTATATGCATTTTAAACATAAACCAGAGCTCAAAAGGCTAGAGGAGAATAAGCAGATATTTCCTTTTGGGTTCACAGAACCATCATCTCAGAGAGGACCCAAAGCTCTTTGTTGTTTTAACTACGAAAATTATATCAATGATCTGAACAGAATACAATGTGCTCCAAAGAGCTGCGGTTATTCAAGTAGGACCAGAAAGGTCTCGACAATAACGTGCTCTACCAACTGCCGTGCTGCTCGCACACAGGCCCCGAGCACCTGCACCCCAGCCATGGGCAGGCCCGCAGAGCGCTAGCCAGAACCTGTGCCATGGCCTTACATGAAAAGATGATGCTGGCTTGTCAGATCCTCTCTTCCTCTCAGGAATGTGAATCAGGACACAGAGGGAAAGCTGGCAGTGAGAATCAGAGCTTAAGGATGCAACGACAGACGGCAGGAAGTAGATGGGGACTGTTTACTCTCAACTCTGAGCGATGTACCATTTTAACAGTCTTCGAAATTCTGGAAATAACTTCTAGACCTTAGGCTGTACTGACATGCTGTTCCCTGGTATTGGTTTAAATGAAGCCCAGCTCAACCCTCATGCCGACACTGGCAAGTACAGGACAGCTTCTAGTTCATAAAGCAAGAGCTGACTCTACGCCTGTTCTTCTTAAGCTTTGCAGAGCCTTTTCAGCAGCCTCTGTGACACGGGAGGCCACTCTGAGCGGATGGACCCACCTGTGCAGGAAGTGCAGCTTGTGCATGGCGGCCAGCCCCGCGGCGATCTCGCACGCCATCCGCTGCAGCAGCATGGTCTGCGAGCCCCCCCGCACGTGCTCCTGCTCGTCGCGCAGGTAAGCCTTTAGGTCGCCCTGCAAACGTGAGGCTAGTTTAGTTTCAAGAGTGGACGAGGTGAACAGACTGGCAACCAAACCTGTGCCTTAACAGACATTACCCATTAAGATCGGTTATTAGAAGTTACTTAGATTTGAGCTTAATAAAGACTCTCAGACTGAACAAGTTTCAAATTGTAAAAAGTAATTCCAACCGAATATTTCAAAGGTACAGAAAACATTATTATATTCTTAGAATCATTGTAACTAAATTAAACATTAGTTAATCTTTGCTATATAAACACAGGTAAAACAAGACAGTAAAAAAAAAGGAAATTTTGCAATGATGCACAATTTAAACTAAGTGCAGAAGTATAGAAAATTCCAGGTAACTAAGAGAGGACATGATGAGGAAAAGAAATGGTGCCTCCCAGCGCCTCTAAGGATCCCAGGAGATACGTGGTCAGAGAGTGCTACATCATGAGGGCTACGGCCAAAGCACTCACGAGCAACAGAGAGGGAGGGAAAAATGCGTGGAAAAGGAGGGACAAGCACATTCAGCGCTGGTAACAATGGCTTCAAATCTCTGCCCTGTGTTGCCCAGAGACCACTGCGAGAAAGAACATTCCAGTCACTCCACAAAAATTTACAAAGTTAATAAGCTTATTCAAAGGATAGCAGCATGGGCAGGAAAATGAACAAATTCACATTAAGACATCCAATGTGTGTACATTTACATGCTGAGCTCCCCGGGTACCACCTCCTGACTTCCCCACCTTACCCTTTTTCTCGCCCCTTTAGTTTAGGACTGCACATTCTGGGGGGTTTATAATACGTCTGTTTTGGGGAATACACTTTTGAGAAAATAAAATCTTCCACATTCTTCTTATCATATGATTAAATATTTGTTGATGTGATTTAATTTCAAATTAAAGCCTTAAATAATCAGTTATTACAATTTAGAAAGCAAGCCCATAGCTTTCAGTTTTCTTTATATCTGAGTTAAGAAAAGACTCTCCTGGAAGGAAATTTCCCTTGACCAACTACAGAATATACTACATTTCTTATAACTGTTACTGAAGATAGTAAATTTATCAAATTTCTCCCAGAATAAAACCTTAAAATATGATACTCCTTTACCAACATTTGCCGACATTAAATACTGAGGACATTCTAACGTAACTTCTAGGTCCACTCCAAGAATGTAAGTTTGTTTTCACTCCCAGTTCCAGTGATCGTTACACGAACGATAACGGTGGTATTAATAAGCATTACCATCCGAGCTTTCGAGTGGGGTGCCAAGCACTGTACCAGCTTACACACTTGTTACCTCAAAGAAGTCTCACAGTTTGAACACTTTCCAGATGTGGAACGGAGGAGGAAGGTCAAGATGTGCCCAAGGCCAGAGCTAGTAAATGGTGGGGCTACGCTTCAACTTTCCAGTCTACCGACTCGTCAAGACAATTCTACTCAGTGAGTGAACTAAATTAGTATCCAGATCACATCTATTTGTTTTACAAAAATGAATGTAAAATAACTTAAAGCCAATCATGTGGGTTTGTTGGATTCTCCCACACTTTCTGGCGCTGCTCTGCCAGGGAGGCAGTTTCGCGCCGTCAGGACCAGCGTGAATGCCCACCCACATCACTCTCCTCTTACTTCTTTCCAAACATGGTGCTTTCTCCTTTGTTCCCACCGCAATTACACGCTGCTCCATAGGAGAAATAGACATCTATTTTTTCCTTTTAAAAACACATGCTGCTCCCCACCCCCACCCCCACCAGGCTAAACTCCATCCAGCGTGGGAGTGCTGGGAATAAAGACAGATTTGGGTGACAATTAAATTGACCCAGGAAAAATTTCAGCAAAGAGCTCTAGACCTACAGGCTAATGGGATTTTCACGAGGTAGTCCAAATAGAAACTAAATATGAAAATAAATAGCTTAAATTTATTTACACTACCAATGAAATGGCCACTTAAATTCCTTTGTCTAACCCCTTTCCTACAACATCCATCTAAGGGAAAAATCACCCTCACAAAAGTAGGATTGTGCTGTGCTGTATCTGGCCAATTCTCAAAACAAACAGAAGCTGCTGGCAAACAGTGAACACTTCACAAGTGACTTTGGCCATGAATGCAGGAATGGCAGAGTGGGTGTAGTTGTTTTTCAAGGTTATCGAAAGTATATTCATCACAACTCACTGTTCCTAAAATATCTTCTCTCCACAATATTCCACTCCCCAAACTTCACTAGAAGATAAAATACAATAAACAGAAGGGGATTTTGCTCAAGAATGTTAACACTCCTAACGGCTCTAGCTTGGCAGGAAGCAGAGGCCTCCCCCAGCCCACCTGGGGGAGATAAAGCTGGCACAGGCCGGGCGAGCACATCTCTGAGCTGGGTGAGGGGTTAGCACCATCGACTGCTGAGGAGCCTGTCACTGCTTCTCACGGATGGACCTGCGATGGACTGTGAAGGATCGAGGGTTAGTTCTACATTCTAGAAAGATCCTCAGAGCTCTCCTGATACAGCCATTTAAAAGAAAAATCAGCATAAAATCTTTAATCACCGTAAAAAATGTTTCTATTAAATAAGTACTAAAAATTGATTCATTCTATCCAAACTAGGCTGTACTTAGATGTTTGGTTTATTTATGTTTTAATGGGGCTTAGTGAGTAGACAGGGATTACTTTGGTCCACAATTTAAAGAAAAAACACTAAGAATAGAAATGTAATCTAAATTAAAATAAAGTTTCCTTTATCCAAGTTTTAAAAATTTCTCAGATCCTCCCAAAACCCCCGAAAAAAACTGGAAAAGAAAAATTTATGACACTAGATGGCAGCAAAGTGCTATACTGTACTAAGAACTCAGCTAACAGAATAGCAGCTTGGAACGCCTTCTCGGACTGAGTCATTCAAAGATCTTTTCATGGGTTAGTCACAGGTGTCCTCTTAAATTCCAACAGAAACTGCCAGGAGGGGTTTATCCGGCTTTTTGCAGGAGACTGAGAACAATGAATTGAGTTCAATACAACGTAAAAACAAGTAAATAGCTTAATAACTGAAAAACCAGTCATTTATACATTTGACTAAATGGATGGAAGAATGGCATCAAGAGCCACACACTCAGACCTGCTGATGAAATAAAACATCAACCCCGAGCTGAAGCCCCTGGGTACCTGGTCCCAGCCACACCTCCCCACTCCAACCTGACCCCGTTTCTTAACCCCCAAGTTCCCTGCCTGTGTTTATTTTTTCTCACCAACACTCCAGCCCCCGCCTGTCTACATCCACACCCTTACATGTCGCCTTCTGTTACGATGGATTATTCACCCTGGTGCCTTTCTAAGCTCAACCTCTTTGTGAGCCCATCCCTTCCCTCCGCTGTAATGCTCCAACATCTGCCAGGCAAACCCACACACAACCGAACGAGTCTCCCTCTGCCTCCACGCTTCTCCCCTGCTGCCATCCCACTGCCCTCTTCTCCACTGGGTCCGCAACTCACCAGCAGAACCAAGTGATGGACCCATTCCATTCCTTCCTTCCTCGTCAGCCTCCTGGCTTTCTTCCGATCTCACTGGCCATTCCTTTCCCGGGCCCCCGTGCTGGACCTTCCTCTTAGAATCCGTTAGTGCTGGCACGCCCCAGGGCTGCATCCTTTGTTCTCCTCACTGTGGACAATCATTCCCGGGTGACTGTATCTACCCCATGGCTTCAAAAATCATCTCTCAAACACATTTCTCTGGCTCAGACCCCTCCAACTCCTGAAGCCCAGATTCATCTGTCCAATTGCTGACTTGACACCCTTCCCTGGATGCCCTAAGAGGCCCGTCAAACCTAACGCATCTGGTACAAAACTTCAACAACCCACTCCATCTCAGGACACGGCATCACTGCTTTCCCAGTGGATCAGTTCAAAACTGTAGACCTCATTCTTGAGTTTGTCTGTCTCTAGACTCCCACATCCAACCCATCACCAAGTCCGGGATCTATTTTCACAAAGGGGGCAGCAGCCAGGCATAAGGAAAGGAGAGGCCACCAGCAGGGCCTAGGGCCTGGGGATGTACGCTCCCCACCACGTCACCCCTGCCCTCACTGTCAAGCCTGATCATGCGGTGTCGTTGTTCAGCACAAGCATCTCCTCTGCGGGCTTTGAGTGAGGGACAGCATCCACATGCGCCTCTGCTCCACTGTAGGCATGTCCTCTCTTTTCTACATGAACTCTTTAGGGGCAGAGACATGTCATTCATCTTCGTTTGCCCGGCACCTAGACGGGTCTCTGGTGCACAGACTTAATGAATACATTTATAAATGAGACAGGTCCATTAACTAGGCATTTTCTGTACAAAAGGGCCAATTCTAAAATGGAGGCTTCCCACTGGCAAAAAAATATGTACAAGCATTAAACCACTGGGTCTAAGTACACAGAATAAAATTAAGCCACCAGTTAAAATCTCTACTTTGCCATTAGTAATTATACGACGGCAGGCAAGTCAATGAACCAGACAAGGGTGAATCGAAAGCATGGTCCTGAAGTCAGACAGACCTAGGTATGATTCTTCAATGAGTCTCTCCATCTCCCTCAGCCTCAGTTTTCCAATCTGTAAAATGAAGCTACTGCCACCTGTCGCACAGGGTTCCTAAGAAGACTCATCAGCTGGAGAGCGAGTACCAAACGCCCCACACAAGGCCTGGCACAGACAGGCTGAGCCTTTCCTTCCTTAGTCTCCTAGGTGGGCAGCGGCCAAGGCCACCTTCAGCTCTAAGAAAGGCCAAAGGCCCTTCTAAGAGCCCATGATTCTAAGCGACACTGACTCTTCATGAGACTGAAGAAAGCGAATCCCACAGCGGATATGCTGCACCTCCAAGAATGCCAGGTGGGCTCCTTCCCATTCCCACTCGGCCACTGCTAACCCCTTTCAGAAATTCACTCACTGCTTTACCGGCTGAGTATCATGAAGGAAATCTGCACACCACATCAAGAACGCTCCCTTGCAAAGACAATATTATCACCGCTTGCTTCGGAGTCAGGCGAGA